TGTCTCATTATCTCCCATTGTTTGTATAACCAACATGAACATGCATTAATTGTGTCCTTTCTGTGTGCACCTATGTACATTATGGCCATGGCGGGGCTATATTCTATTCAGTTCATACAATGAACCGCGAACAATGCCATTGACATATGAATTATACGCTGTACAATTTAGCCTAACGTTATCACAAGTTACAATATCCTTAAATTAAGAATATGGTGAATGTGTTTGTGAACCTAAAAATAACTTGTTGATATTGTTCCGGGCGCTGTCCCCTGCCCCTGGGCGAGTGTAATGAGATATGTTGGTGTGCACGTGGGTTCGCTACAAGGCCAGGAATAGATGTCGTATGGAGAGAACAGCCTTTGATGAGTGTTTGATCTCAGGACAACTCCAGGGTATATAGTACAGTTGACATAGATGACGGATGACGAAGCATCAACGTACAGAGTCCCAATTTCAGACTGTCCCTGGTTCTATGTTTTGCCCAACCATACGACGACCGAGAGTTTCACCAAGGCGATACAAGTCACCTGTTTACCTGAACAAACACGGCAACATGTGATACAAGTCACCTGTTTACCTGAACAAACACGGCAACATGTGATACAAGTCACCTGTTTACCTGAACAAACACGGCAACATGTGATACAAGTCACCTGTTTACCTGAACAAACACGGCAACATGTGATACAAGTCACCTGTTTACCTGAACAAACACGGCAACATGTGATACAAGTCACCTGTTTACCTGAACAAACACGGCAACATGTGATACAAGTCACTTGTTTACCTGTTTACGGCCATGTGAAGTCAAACACCTGAACAAACGGCAACATGTGCTACAAGTCACTTGTTTACCTGAACCATCAGAGCAACATGTGATACAAGTCACCTGTTTACCTGAACAGACACGGCAATATGTGCTACATGTCACAACGAAGTGCAATGGACATCACTTTAGCCACTGATGCGTTCTATTTGGATGTGTCTATGATACAATAATTGATTATCGATAACTATGACATCGAATGCCGTTATCCTGATCCACCGGTGTTTGCGTGTGTTTGTGATGGACGACACCAGTGGTGCAAGATGCGTTTACCTCTTCCCCGCTTCCTGATATCCTCACTAACAACTACTGATGATCGTACAACAGACGCAGAGATTTTGTTATGACTTTGGGATATGAGTGTCACAACTGCACATAAATGCAGCCTCTACGAGTGGCCCGCTTGCTGCTATATTGACTCTATCTTTACCTCGGTTGGTAAAATGTTTGTTCAGGTTTGCCACTCTCGTACGGGTATGGTGCGGACAAACCCTAAAGCATAAATGGGGCGAACCGGGATTTGAACCAGCAATTAAATGTTTCTCGTGTACCACAAAGAATTGCGGCGGCTATAACGATTCTGACCCCAAAGTGTTGCAGTGAGACCAGTTCGTGAGAACTTTAACCACGTCTGTTGTGGAAAATAACGGAAAATACCAGTCGTGGTATGTCAGGAATGTTACCTTGGCATAAGTGCTGCTCCCATTACCTATAACACGGTATGAGGATTGAAGCGATTGTACGAGCGCTTCATTCACAGTATCAGAATACGTCAGTGACAGCGTTTCGAGACATTTCTTTAAAAGACATGTTACCATGGTTTCAAATCAGTCCAGTTTAAAAAACCGACGCATGAATTAAAATGCTTTGAAAGTGTCCAAATAAATAACTGAGTCGAGGTGGGGTAGCAAAAGCAAGCGTCTATCTAAATTGACATTTCCGTGATGCTCTAGTACAATGACATGTTCTCATTGACAGCATGTATTACGAAGGAGGATGTTATCCCCAGTGAACACGACCGTCCATGACATACCAGATGTGTTCTATGGGGGGCAGGTAGAGGGAGCGTAAAAGCCATGGCAAGATGTTGACTTTGGCTGCAAGGAAATCCTGTAGAATTTGGGTGGTATGCGGTCTGGCGTTGTCATGGTAATAAGGAGGCCGCGTTGGAGAAATGGTAGGACAACTGGGTGAAGAATGTCATCCATAGAACGGAGAGCTCTCCAATATCCGATGACCAGCGGCGTTGTCTCCTCCCCACGCCATAACACCCCTTCCATCATAAGACACGACCTCATGAACACACTGATGTTCGTTCTCCCATTCGGTGGTAAACACGTGATCCTCCATCAGCTCTGACAGAGCCGGCTTTCAGCAGTGAAGACGACCCTCTGCCAGTCACGACGCTGCCAGCGACGTACAGTCCGGGTCGATCTTAATCCCTGACGACGATGTTGCGATGTCAATAACTGTCCTCTGTACGTTCTTAAGCTCCAATTCCTTGAGCCCTGAGTCACCTTGCCACTACCTGGAGACCAAACATATGGCCAAAGAAACTCGTCGCTGATGACGCCACTGTCAGGAACTTTGACTTTGACCAGAGACCATATAACATGATCTCTGAAGGAACTGATTCTAGATATACTCGTATGCGCGTATCCTTTATTGGGCGCAGGAACCTGTTCTGTGCCTGTCTGCTTGTTCCGTCTGTAACGTTGCATCAGGTTACTTACAGCAACACAGGAGCAACCACATACATTTGGTCATGGATGTCTCCTGTCTGTATCCAGGTCGCGCTCGTGTCATCAGTGGCAGTTCAGCTGTGTTTTCACCTGGAGCACAGGGGTTCGAATCATCAAGTGTGTATTTTATGTAAGAAGTGTAGAGGTAGAATGTTCTAAAATCTTTATTTCTTCGCCGATTTCGTTGAACTTGAAATTCGAAATTTACGTTAATCATAACATACAAAAACAATGTATGATTGCAAAAGTCTAGATTTTTGTTTTTCAAAATTATTGTCCAAACAGTGATTCGAACCCCTATTGTGTGTGAGTGTCTCACATGCCGTCCGTATCATTAGTTCTCCCCCGATTGCACGTGTAATCCAGGTCCCACGAGTGGCACGTGTTTCACTTTATCCAATTTTCATGAAAAGAAACCGTGCCGTGGACTTGCATCACTATCTGCATTACTGTGTTTGGGCGATCAGATGACTGACTCTGAGAGTGGGGGTTCGAATACCGGATGGGACTCAACTCAGTAAGTACTTTACTGTCAGTATAATTCCAAATATAACATGAGCTACATATGGCCACTTTCTTAATGGCATTGTAGATTCATAGCACTGTTCTGGTCTATTAAAAACACAACTTTTCCAGGACAACTTCAGTTAAGACTTTCTATTCTCTATTTGAAACTTGAAAAGGCGTTTTGGAGCATGTCCTATCTGAGTATGTTCCTGCCTATATAATTCTTCACATATAATTAGAAAATATGAACGATAACTCACGGGAGCGGGTTGGGGGTGCAACCAGGGTCTACTCCCATTTGTGAGAACTCCCATTTGTGAGAACTCCCAGTTCTGAGAACTCCCAGTTGTGAGACTCCCAGTTATGAGACAGTGGAGTAGGTAATTAACAACGAAAACACACCATACTCCCCTGTCTGATAGAACGGATTCACCCTAGCTAATTACGGATTTGCTATGTAACTGAATCTTGTGGAGGTAACTTAATGACACTTTATAAGATAAATTGATTAACATACTCAGGTAAATGTCTTTATTAATTAAACACTTTGTGTAGGTAACTTCGTGATCAAAGAGAAATTAATTTACCTACTCAGATTTACTCCGTTTCCGAAACTACAAGCAATAGTTTAAGAAATAACTCTGAAATTTACAGTCGAGCCAAACCCTTTCTACCCGACACAATAAATTTATGGAATGCCCTACCAAATTCCAAAGAGTCATGCAGTTTTAAAGAATTTTAAAACCTAATTACAAAAACCGAAAACAAGATTTATATTGATCTTAATTATGGCTCTTTTTTTTGTCAAATCGTTCATTGCTGCCTCAGGCTCGGATGTAGCGACCTAAACGCCAATAAGTACAACAGACATTTAATAGATAGTGCATGTTGTTCTTGTGGATATCAACTACCCGTTATAACCTGGATAATTATTTGAATGGAAACTCGAATTTACTCCTTGTGTACACCAGAAAATAGTTGAATCCGTCCACGATTATATCAAGACACAACCTTCAAATTTTCACAGGGAAATACTGAAATTAACTCAACAACCTTCTCGTGATTGATTTATATTCCTACAATAGCTTGTTAGACACACACAACTGTAAGTCTCTAATTATGACTACTTAGAAAATAGTTGTATTTGATGTAATCTGTATATATTTACATGTACTTAAAAATATATTTAATTTTATATTTTCTGTTGCATGGGAGCGGTGTTAACATAAGCAGTAATACTTCACCAATCCCAATTCATTTTCATAAATAATAATAAAATATGTTTAAACCAAAATGACTTCCAAACTTCATAATAGGCAACAAAAATGTGTTATCATAATTACATATTATTCTGAATAAATAAAATATTCAGTGAACTATTTCTTCTGTGTAAATATAATCTTTGATAATCTATTTCATTAATCAACTCATCAATGAACTATGCCTCCTGTGAGTACTGGGCTGGGCTGATCCCACTTTCATTGTAGGGATGTGGAAACACCACCTATGTGCACTGAACCATTAATTAATGTGTCTCACAACTGGGAATACTCACAAATGGGAGGACACCGCAACCAGCATTACTATACCGCGAAATACTATCTTAGCCGTTTAGCTGATAGTAGATCTACAAGCGCATGGATCGGTTGCTACATGTATAATGTCATTAATAAAATGTAAAGCATCGCAAACACTGCTTTGTGTTAAACAATTTATTACAAATTATAAAAAATATTTTGTCAAATCAAATGTGCAACATAATCATAAACTATGGAAAACATCTTAATAATGTACAAATACATGAAAAACTATTATGTACATTCTGTATACATAAACATGATGCAAACAGTATACAACATGGCGTTTGTGGTGGATGTCAGGCGGGATGTAGATCAATGGTGTTTTCACATGATTGTTTTCAAAACAGAACCCATTAATGATTTGAGTCTTCGTGTCTCACATGTATCATATATACACTGGACAAAATTGTGATTGTTTTATATGAAAAGTAACGCCGTAACATAATGATATATGACAGCGGTTTATGAATGTTCTAGCCTGGACCAGACAATCCAGTGTCTGGACAAGCAGTAATTGCTGTCTGAAGGAGATATATACATATACTTATTGTGAGTGTTTGTGACAGCAATGTGCATGTGAGTCCAACCGACCCAATTTGGGAGATTTACTTTTTATGACACAACATAAGTTCACGGAATCCCCCTGTATGGAGACACACGTGTCCTCTTATAATAATACACGTTATGTTCATTTCAATCTGTCTTAACAGAGGGGTTGGGCGGTGTATTTAATGCATGAGATGGATTCATATACTCATGGAAACAAATATGGGAACACGTGAAAGTACAAGTGTTCCTTTATTCTTTTCCAGGTTTCTTCATAAGGTAGATGATGTATGTATTGCACTGTGAGTGAAATTCTGGGCCTAATGCAGTAGGGAAACATCCCAAAACTCATTTCATAACGATTAAATTGTCGATTGTTATGTATGTACTTATGTGTGTACGGATGGAAAGATGCACTTCCAACAGCATCATTTTAGGTAACGGGTGAGATCATCTGACCTTTCAGAAACAAACACACAGCAACAACATGGTTCGTAAACAATCACCTATCAGTCATATTAGTCAAATAAGTTCATGTACAACATTCAATAAGCATTCTGACACATGTACAGGCGGGCACTGCTACTTGCTATTTGGAATAAACTTGGTGTTAACATACATCACATCAGATTGTATCCGCCATCGTCTCACAGAAAAACCCCTGAACCTGAAATCCACGGAGAATGTGCGGAATCCGGCATCCTTCATCTTGTAGTAGATCCGTAACAAGTCCATGTAGGACTTCTTGGTGGGAAAGTCATGCACGAGATGCCACTCTACCACGAACTGTCGTACACGGTGGATGATCCCCGTGTCCAGCATCTGCTGCATCATGAACCACTCAAACCCCTCCACGTCCACCTTCAGCACGTCAATCACTTTCTGAAATGTACAACAAAGTGTAACTGAATTATTGAAGCCCCTCCACGTCCACCTTCAGCACGTCAATCACTTTTTGAAATGTACAACAAAGTGTAACTGAATTATTGAAGCCCCTCCACGTCAACCTTGAGCACGTCAATCACTTTTTGAAATGTACAACAAAGTGTAACTGAATTATTGAAGCCCCTCGACGTCCACCCTGAGCACGTCAATCACTTTCTGAAATGTACTTCGTGTGCGTGTATGTAAGTCATACACCTGTTTTTGTGAATCAGTCCTTGTTTTATGTCAACAGTACACTTCAGTACACACAGTACGTGGAAGGTTGTGTTCGTAGTCTCGATATCCCTGATGTCGATATCCAACCTATCCCTTTGTGTCGACCCCCATACCATGTCGCTATCGAACCTGCCTCCACCTCCGTCGACATCCAACCTACCCCCCTCATGTCGATATTCAACCTACCCTCATGTCTGATATCGATATCGATATCCAACCTACCCCTCATGTCTATATCCAACCTACCTACCCCCTCATGTCAATATCCAACCTACCTCCTCATGTCGATATCTAACCTACCCCCTCATGTCGATATCCAACCTACCCCCCTCATGTCTATATCCAACCTACCCCCTCATGTCAATATCCAACCTACCTCCTCATGTCGATATCCAACCTACCCCTCATGTCGATATCCAACCTACCCCCTCATGTCGATATCCAACCTACCCCCTCATGTCATGTCGATATCCAACCTACCCCCTCATGTCGATATCCAACCTACCCCCTCATGTCGATATTCAACCTACCCCCTCATGTCGATATCGATATAACCTACCCCCTCATGTCGATATCCAACCTACCCCTCATGTCGATATCGATATAACCTACCCCCTCATGTCGATATTCATACCCTCATGTCGAGCCTACCCCCTCATGTCGATATCCCAACCTACCGATATTATCCAACCTACCCCTCATGTCGATCCATCCAACCTACCCCTCATGTCGATATCCAACCTACCCCCTCATGTCGATATCCAACCTACCCCCTCATGTCGATATCCAACCTACCCCCTCATGTCGATATCCAACCTACCCCTCATGTCGATATCCAACCTACCCCTCATGTCGATATCCAACCTACCCCATCATGTCGATATCCATCCTATCCATCCCCTCATGTCGATATTTAACCTACCCCTCATGTCGATATCTAACCTACTGCCCCCTCATGTCGATATCCAACCTACCCCCTCCAACCTACCCTCGTGCTGTCGATATCCAACCTACCCCCTCATGTCGATATCTAACCTACCCCTCATGTCGATATCATCCAACCTACCCCTCATGTCGATATCTAACCTACCCCCTCATGTCGATATCTAACCTACCTACCCCTCATGTCGATATCTAACCTACCCCCTCGTGTCGATATCCAACCTACCCCTCCTCATGTCGATATCTAACCTACCCCCTCATGTCGATATCATACCTACCCCTCCGATATCCAACCTACCCCCTCATGTCGATATCCAACCTACCCCCTCATGTCGATATCCAACCTACCCCTCATGTCGATATCCAACCTACCCCCCCTCATGTCGATATCCAACCTACCCCTCATGTCGATATACCCCTCATGTCGATATCCAACCTACCCCTCATGTCGATATCCAACCTACCCCTCATGTCGATATCCAACCTACCCCCCTGTGTCGATATCCAACCTACCCCCCATGTCGATATCCAACCTACCCCCTCATGTCGATATCCAACCTACCCCCATGTCGATATGTCCTAATATGTCGATATCCAACCTAATCCAACCTACCCCCTCATGTCGATATCCAACCTACCCCCCTCATGTCGATATCCAACCTACCCCCTCATGTCCCAGCATCTTCATGATGGAGGGCAGAGTCCTCATCTTCCAGGTCTGGTCTTCCTTCACGTACATCCCCCGGGCCGGCTTGTAGGAGTCGGTGTCTTCTGCCCCGATACCCAGCTTGTGGAAATGGACCACGCCCTTGTGGATGTGGTCATTCCATTTCACACTGCAAATATACTCTCCCACATCAACATCAGCATCCCAGTTTATACCTACACAACTCAAATATATACTGAAATGCCAGATTCAATGTATTCAATAAGTCCGTTTAATTATCGTTATATTTATGTTTACAAATTGCGTGTGGTCCCACGAGATTTGATTGTCTAACCAAGCAGTATCATTTGTATGTAGGTACATCCATAAACAGAAACAAAAATAGGCTAATTAATAGGGTTTGGGATGCATTTTTTCAGAACGAAGTTCTATTGTCTAAATGTCGTGTGTGTTTCCGTGCGTGTTTCTGATCAAATAGCACCATGTATAGTTGGATAACGCAGTTGGGATACGATGACATGTGTCAACCAAGTCAGCGAGCCTGATCACCCGATCCTGTTAGTCGCCTCTTACGACGGGCATGGGCTACTGAAGACCAACTCAAACCCGGATCTTCACGGGCGCATGCTACACTGTAAGTGAATAACATGTTGATAAACAATGAAAGTTGGGCGCGATAATGGAAGCAGTCCAATTTTGGTTTCATTTAATATATACAAACTGCATAAAAACGAGATATGATACATAATATAATGGAAATACTTTATTCTTTGGTTGACACACGGCAAGGGAGACAACTGTACCCGGACTGATGCTCGAGCAGATCACTGTTCGTCACTGTTTTAGAAAATGAGAGTGTTTACGCCGCTTTTAGCAATATTCCAGCAGTATCATATCAAGACGGGGGACATCAGTAATGGGCTTCATATATTGTACCCATATGGGAATCGAACTCGTGCCTTCAGTGTGACGAACGTTTTAACCACTTGGCTACCCAACCGCCGCTTCCGAATATGACCAATCAGAAACCTAAGTTACAACATCTAAATCATTTACTTGTGATTTATTAACCTGCTGAATATATTTCCTGAGCGGTGGATAAATATAACTGAGATACCGGTGTGACATGAATATTAATGAGACACATGTCACGTTTGATTTACAAAATAAATATTCCTTCCCTCGCTTCTGAGAAGTATACTGCGTCCGCGATACACTCATGTTTTGTAGCCGTATTACTAAACCTAAGGGGACAGTATCATTGGAATCGAAGTGCCTCATCACTTTACCTGGGATCAAACGAATGTGTTTCACATCCCATCCTGCCAAGGGTTTCCTCAAACGCCCATTTCGTGTAGACCCTGTGAAAAAAACCGTAATATTTCTACAGTGTTGTTCTTCCGTGTAACTTGTTCGTCGAGACCTGACATGTAGGCCAACAGACGGCATCACCTTGAGATGCAGATGATGCAGATGACAACAATGCAGGTGTGTCTATTAAATTACATTTGTGACGTCATTCCAGTTTTATGCTGCTTTTAGCGCTCCATTACTTTTCAGGAATGGGCGACCACCCACACTCCGGCCAGTGATGACTTCAAATTAAAGCCTTAATTTTATCACGTTTTGGACTTTTTAATTTTGATAACAGAAATATTCCCAATACTTTGAATGTCGGCGCGCTCATTACAATGTTTTAATTGTTACATCGTAATTCTTCCATTCCTGCGAAAATAATGGCCCTCGGTACATATTTAGATATTTCAAACTGGTTGAATCGGCTCCCCTGTCGGCTTCGATGACAGCACGTGGAGCCGTACAACCTACGTAAACAAAGGGTTACTACCAGCTCGAAATAGTGTTACAAAAAGATGTATGCGCTTGTTTTGCTCGTCACCGACGAGAGGAATCTTGTATGAGCGTGATGGACGGTGCAAGTTTGACGAATCGTTTTAGCAATGCTGGCCAGCAATATATCACAACTGGCTTGCCGCATGGAACTCTGGGTAGGAGAGTGACAACCGCCAAGCTATCCAACCTCCCCGAGTCTTAGGGAGGTTGAGATGGTCGATAACAGATACATACAGTTAAATTAGATCCTGTACAAGAGACCTTGTGTGCGGGTACCTACATCATGACCAGTGTACTGAAACCTGGATATAACGTCACGTGACTTACCCAAAGGAGTATGCGATGCATGGTGGCTTGATCCTAAATTGAGGATCTTGGCAGACGAAGTATATTCCAGCAGACGACTTGTTCTTGCATTCATATTCTGGTGGTTTCTCAAAATCCCTGAACACAAACATGTGGATGAAGTGGAATTTGTTGAAATCAAATCCTGTTGGTTTTGTGCGACCGACCTTATCTAATAACATTGGTTACATCCGTGTCTGTTCATGAAACCACATGGTAGCACAGGTAATGAAGGTTCCGTTGTGTGAATGAGTAATGATTTTACGCAAACAGAAATACACTCAACGTTTTACCACGTTAGGAACGAAATCGGTCTTGGCGTGATGAGCGAAAGCTTTAACCATTGGGCTACCTCACGGCCCCTTAAACAGTTTGTGATTGAGTGAGTTTAGTTTGGTAAGAGTTACTCCCGTTCCCCCATCCCAAATAATATCTATAAATTAATATATACTAATTTTATTAACAAAACGTACTACAACAATTACTAGAGAACTCACAATAATGACTAAAAGTCCAAAATATATGTTAGGGTTAGGTTTAGGGTTAGGTTTAGGGTTAGGGTTGGGGGAACGGAAGGAACTCTTTCCTTTGGTTTTAACGCTTTCATCAGGCGAGTCAGTGGGTGGAAAGATCTTAATTTTAGACGAACAGCTTCCCAGTGAGAACCACGATCAAAAACTTTAGTCATACTTGCAGATAAAAGATCCTGAACAGATCCTATCTAACATTCGACCATAAGACGCCAAAAGCACTGAACTCTGCAGAGAGAATGTTGCATGTTTTGTGTGAGTACATATTGACAATTATCAGTGTATGAGATTTGGGTGCATCTACGGTTGTCAGGATGAAGTATGGGAATATCCTGTTATAACACTGACCATTTAATCAGGGAACTGGCCTGCCAGTACTCAGTTATCCGGAAGCTAGAACCATCTGAAGGATTCTCTCCGGACGTATTTGGACCATCCTTGTGAATGACTTCGGCTCCCTTTTCCGCTGTATCCGAATTTGGCCCTTCATCTTCGACGTGTAAACCTTTGGCCCTGGCGAGCTTCCGTAGTTTATGAACTGAAGCAATGATAAATAGGTTATGTCGGTCATATTCTTAAGCATACGACCATTGACGACACCTGGTTTTATTGCATAGTTTACATCAATGTCAGGGAAATTACTGTGTTGATTGTTGGATGTTTTAATACGTAACTCAGCAATAGTTCAGGTGTATGACAAGCCTGTGAATACTGGAGGCAGAACCAGGCAGCCTAGTCTGTCTCACAGTCCCTGAACCACATTATTTTCCCTACAGCCTAGCCTTCCCTGTAGTGCTAAAGCCCTAAACGAAGCAAGTCTAGATTTCCCCAGGTTCTGAATCTCTGGTCTCCCTAGGGTTCCTTTTCAATTTAAATGGGCTTGTTTGTTACTATCAAAATTATATATATTCAGAGACTAAGCCTTAGTCTACAGGCAACCCAGTAACTGACATTGTTGCCATCGACCCAGTTGAACTACAACTACATGCATTTAACCAATCCAGCGAACCTGATCACCCGTCCCGTTAAATTGCCTCTTATGACAGACACGGGGGTGGATAGGGGTGGACCCGGTGGAGCTATATTGCTATTAGGGGTCAGCACGGTAGTGTGTTCGGTAGTGATACAATAGATTATGGTGACGTGACAGAAGTATCATTACAGCTTTCTCACGGCGTTCTGCAATCAATCGGACATTGACTTGCTTCGGGCAACAAATTAGTAGTTTTGTATTTTAGGCAAATTGCGTGATGAGCAATTGTGCTACCAGTGGGCAGGATATGTGGACTTTTTTGGCGAATACCTGTGTCATCGCTGATCTTCAGTGACCCATCCTGCTAGTTGTCACTGCTCTTGTGCAATATATGCCTGACAGAATGTGTTTCGGTGGGTAATCGAGAAATCGATGCGGGTTATTCTCTTATTCATATACTAATGCCTGGAACATGAACAACGATCAACTCAGTTGATAAATGTTTTCACGCCAGTTTGTGATAATATCCACTGGTTGACACAGACAGACACAATATATTTAGTACTCCGTACTACAAAACGTTTATAGTAGCGTGCTACTACATTCATAACTCTATGACAAATTGTAGAGTTACGTCAGTTCCTAGGCTCATAATACAAATATTTGGAAAGGTTATAGCTATATATGTGCAGAATAATGACTGGAAATTATGCAGATGTACGTTTTAAGGGCGATTTATTTCTTGTCTTGTCTTGAGCTGTGAATGAGTACCTCGTTAGGATGAGAAAGCCACAATAACTCGGTGCGCCTAGTGGCTGCAAGAGTTGTGTACTCCCCAGGGAGTTGAGATTGATAATGCGATGTGCCGTTGAGATTGACATCCAATGATCGAGGGAAAAACTACCAGCGCCTTGAGAATGCACTAGTGCGTGGATATGTGCGCTATATAAATATCCTATAATAATAATAATAATAATAATAATAATAATAACTTGTGACAGGAATATACTCAAACACTAAATGTTAAGGATACTGTCACTTGACTTCAGTCTCAAACAGGTTCAGTTGTCGTTGGGTTCATAATATACTTTGGAAAGCAGTCACTTCACCCTTGGGAATATCTACTGCATGGTAGTAGAACATGTACTTGATCTGCAATAATGCTGACATGACAGAATATAGACACCATCATTTACGGTATGTATATCGAGACCACATCCAACGACAAGTCTTTATTGACAGGAACACAGTTATTACTTTCTGTTGATAAGGGAGAAGTTCACTGGTGAGAGAGGTTTTCACAATACATAGTGATTTATACTGTGAGTAATATTTACATTTGGATGAAACTTCGAGTGATGTACGCCCTTGCTGAAATGTGTGAAGATAAAAAAGCAAAAACACAAGCTTCCTCCTCCAACATGGTGACCAGCTGGTTGATGGAAATCCGGGGGTAAGACTTCCGCCGGTACCCTCCTACTGGGTAATAAGGCACTGCATTCTCTCTATCGTATTATCAATAGTAACTCAAATATATCTCTTGATATACAATATAACTTGTTTAAATCCCTCATTTCACCAATATTATCTTATAGTTCTGAGTTGTGGGGTTTCATGGAGGCACATGCAATTAAGAAGGTTCATTTAAAGTTTAGTAAGTACAGTATACGTTAAGAGTTAAACTTCTTCTCCTTCTGCTGTTGTGTATGGTGAAGTTGGTGTTCAACCGTTGGCTACACTTCGATTGATAAGGATAGTTAAATACTGCTTGAAGATATTGGATAGCAACGAGGACCGTTATATTAAAGTTGTTTATAATGCTTTACTAGAGCTGTCCAGATCTCATCCTGATAGAGTAAGCTGGGTGACTTTACTTAGGGATGCCCTGAATAAGTATGGATTTGGATATCTGTGGAATGCCCAAGTAGTTGTTAATAAATTAGGGTTTCTTAGATCATTTAGTCTCAGAATTAGGGATATATATGAGCAAATGTGGAGACATAATTTAGCCTCATTAAGTGACACAAGGTTGTACTTGCATATTAAGCAAAATTTATGTTTTGAAAGATACCTGGTAGATATTGATATTGTTAAATATAGAACTACTTTAAGTAAATTCAGATTAAGTTCTCATAATTTAATGGATGAAAAAGGTAGCTGGTTAACTCCCAAATTACAATTCAATGAAAGATTATGTCCATTTTGCTGTAAGGACATTGAAGATGAATACCGTGTTGTGATGGTTTGTCCTATATATGAACTTCATAGAAAAAGATATATATCAAGGTCAGTTTACAAATATCCAAGTATGGCTACATTTTTTGAGCTGATGCAAGACGAACGTGCTGGAGTTATACTTAATATGTCAAGGTTTGTGTATGATATATTTAAGTAGAAAGCAACAGCTGAATTTGTTTGAATCTTTATGCATCTTACGGGTCTGACATGGGGGGGAGGGAGTGGCGCGGGGGAGAAATGTTATACACATGTGCATATGTTAAATCATTATTGAATGTACAAATGATTGACCTTTGGTCTAAATAAACATTCATTCATATATTTTAACGATAAAGAAAAATTCCTATGAGTGGCATTTTTAGAAGTTGAATATGTCTCAGTATGTTCAGATACAATTAAAGAAACATGTTAAAACTCATCCTTATTGGATGAGGAATATATATCCAGGTGATATGATTTGACTAGAATGAAGTCTTTCCCAAATGGAATAAATAAAGCTATTTACATATGATATTAACTCAGATACGTTTTAATATAACTGCTCACCAGTTCAACCTTTATATATAGATCACTATTTTCTGCCTCAAACGCGGTTACCTCCCCTGGTGAGTTAATTTACACCGTTCACACCCTTTGGGAGAAAAGCGCAGAAAACTGTATATAGAGGCCTCCATTGTGACAAATTCCCCACCCCATTCATAATTTGTTATTTCCTGTTAAACTTAAAAACCCGAACAACTAACAACATAATATGTGTGAATCATATATTTTCGAAATTGAAAGGTAGACGACAATTGTTCGCGAAATTTTAATGCATGAATTTCCAAGTATACAATTACTGATTTACATTTACAATTACGTCAACAACCAAGATCCACCGACGTTTTACAAAATTATGCCAATCAGATCCCGGCAACATGGCCGCCGTGGAATTAACATCACGATGTATTTGCATATATCTAAATTCCCCAACGGAACGGGTGAAATACGGAACATGTATTTACTTACCTGCATGAACTAATTCATCAATTTCCTTTTGGTTCCGTGAAGATATGGTGTCCCGAAAGGAAACTAGCACAAGTATCGTCAAAGCCACCGCGAACACAAACACGATAAGCTTCCCTGAAGTAAGCCGTCCCATTGTAGACTAGCGTGGTGGGTAGTTCATCGGTATATTCAGGATGACAAGGTCAGTGTCTGCAGTCGACGTGTCACCGAGTGGACTTCTTGAGTCTTGAGTGCACCCCAAGCTGAGCGGCCAACTGAATGGGAGAGGTAAAGATGTCTATTGTTCGAGGGCTTTTGTGAACTGAGTGATAAGCTTGTGAATCCCGGGCTAAAATTAACCCTGGAAAATATGTTTTCAGGTATGCTGGGGTATAAGGAAACTGATTCCATTTATCAACAGATATTTAGGGAAGCCTTTTAGGGTCATTGATTTTTAAGTTTCAAGACGCTATATTGACATTTCATGAACATTATCTTAAAATTTCAACTTGGTATATATCTTCAATGTTCAACTTATTATCTTCAAATTTGAAGATAGCTGTATGTAAATGTCACGAAAACATTTAAATATGAAACACATTCGTGTTTTTTAATTTTTTAAAATTGAAATTCAAGATATTTGTTCAAATGTTGATAATCATCTTAAAATGCCTCCTTCTTATATTAAAAATTTCAAGATTACTGTCTTGAAATGTTAACTTAACATGTATCTTGAAATTTCAAGAAAAACATATAACACGAAAGGCGCTGAAGGATTTCCGTACAAAAGGCTTCTTCCGTTCGTAAAAAAAATTAAATGAACCAAACGTACCCTTTATACAGACTGTGAATTGTGATCATCCCCATAGTTCCACGTGTATGGTCATGCAATTTAAGCGTGTCGGAAAGTCATTATCGTTGGTTCGAATCTTAGATTAGCCCCTTGTCTGGCAGCTACAGTCAAACTCGAAGTTGAAAGGACTCATTTTAAAACTTCGAGTTATCCGAAGTTCCACACAACCTAAAAGTCATCAAGCTTCACACGAGACAACGGTAAGTTTGCCGCATCAAAGCTGGACACAACGTTGTGCAGATTTAATATAACCAAGCAGTTATTGTACGAGCTACCCAACACCTGATTTGTGACAGCGAGTTACATTACTGGCAATGCGTACTTCAGTTCGGCAATAATGTAACTGACCTTACCACATCGGGATTTGTTGAAGCTGATGCTCTCTGTCTTAACTCCCTGGGGCGGTGGGGTAGCATTGTGGTTATAGCGTACGCTCGTCACGCCGACTACCCGCGTTCGATTCCCCACATGGGTACATTGTGTGAAGCCCGTTTATGGTGTCCCCCGCCGTGATGTTGCTGGAATATTGCTGAAAGTGGCGTAAAACTATACTCACCCCAAATCTACCTCGAAATAATTGTTCACATGTTAACACCTTCCCTAGTTTGATGAAGGTGCGGTGGGGTAGCCTAGTGGTTAAAGCGTCCGCTCGGCAAGCTAAAGATCCGGGTTCGATTCCCTACACGGGTACAATGTGTGAATAATTTCAGATGTCCCCCGCCATGATATTGCTAAAAGCGGCGTAAAACCATACTCACTCGAGCTGATCAACGTCACCGATTTGCGACTGGCGTCACTCTGGTAGAGAGTATCCACATATCTGAACATGTTCATCAATAATACCAGACCACGTATCTAGTTCGTAACAATATATACTTCTCCAGACAAACATAATTAAATCAATGATTAGAGAACACCCGAATCTTCCATGTTACCATTGTTCACTTGTACACACAGATATTTTCCTAACTTCTTTTGAGCAGTATAATATGCCCACATGCGATTGATGAACTGACTGAACAGGTGCTGAACTGGTCATCTGTACGATAACACATTGACATCAATAACCTGATGGTGTATAATCCAGATATCCAGCGAAGTATACGGCATCTATTGACGTATTCCACGTCTTGTCATACATCCAGGAGGTAACGAGGTCTCTACATTGACTGCACGACATACTGGAGGGTGTGTCCAAAAAGATAACATTCCCTTCAGTCAATTGTCATGTTTCCCGTATTAAATCTGACCCTCCTACTGGTTTCCACCCTCATGTCGCTTTAAGATCGTCAAGTGAGGCGGAATAGGCGTGGATTTCACCTTGAAAAGTTTCTGAAAGGAGTGACGAATGACTACACCGCACAAAAGATAAAACCTTTACTATTAAAATGGGTACGCTTTTTTTCACCACCAATAACGAAACATGATTGATGTCACGACGCTTGCCAACATGTTGATGATACGTTGTGGAGGTTGTGGAAGTTGTGGACCACTGTTCCGCTGTACACACAGTCCTGGGACCCAACCCAGAAATGTAACAGAATCTTTACATTACTGAAACTGTGTCATCCCTGACGTGGTGCATGAGGCCACTTTGTAAACAAGGAGTTGTGTATTAACACATCTCCACATAATGTATGAAATCATGTTATTAAACAGTTAATATAACTCAATGTTCAATGCCAATTTAAACGTGCATAATTAATGACAATCATATCTAATTATTGATCACCTAAAATACAGGCTACGAATGTCACAGTTCTAAGAAAACTAGATCTCTCCTCTAACGAAGTGAGATGGTAGCACTCTGTCTATTTGCAATAGTTACCTATAATGTTTCCACAATGGTGTTCTACATTATAAACGCAATGTGTGACACATTATTAAAATACTTTTCCTCTTCTGTAAGGAATATAATTACGATCGAAAGCCGCATTGTTAAGGCACAACCATATGTATCTCGTATTGGCCCACTGACCCTGTACTGACCATCAGGTGGTTCTGTACGATTGGGGTCCATTGAGCGTGTTAAGAGCATTCGAAAATGAAACAAGCAACTTAATGGATGAAAACTTCTTGAGGGATGTTTCGATGTAGATTCTTACACCGTTATCAAGTTAAAAGTGATCACAAAAATGATGAAAATTATAGAAACATAGTATGTTTTGAGAAACAGATTAACTTTCACAGCTTGATAACGGTGTTTATCTTACCTCCATGTAAAATATTTTAATTTCATTGGTCAATGACGGTTTAACAAATTTCCGTGTCACCCTGCCAGGAGTTCGAAAACCGTTCGATCAGCTGTTTTTGTGTTCATTTTGTACAGATATATTTTACCGACTTTCACTGCTTTATTTATGCTATTTTATAGGTATCCTCTCATTACGCAGACAGCCAGTTCACAGACACCTTAAAACAACAACATTTACGGTTCAGTGAACAGATTATCTACTACCTGTTACCAACACATTATTATGGAATAGTCCAAATAAAAACACAGGAACAAACTGAAGCTAAATTCTTCAAAGGCATTTATTATAGAAGTTGGTGTAGTAATACAAGACAAATCTTATGTATAACATAAATCAAGAAGTTGTTATCCATAAGATTTGTCTTGTATTAAAACTGAAGCTATATTATTTATTTTGAAAGATGGACGAAAAGACAGTAATTTGAATTTTTATTGCTGCAATATGAAAACAGTTTTTCACAAACATTTCGGTTTAACCTTCTAGTGTAACAGGAGTCGGCATCATCATATTGAAAACATTAGCTTATCTTTTAGAAATTGCGACACTGATGTATCAAATAAATCAAATAAAGACAAATGTGAACCTAAATATATTATTCATATGGAATAAAGAAATTATATTTTGCGCACAGTATTAAGATATATGACGAGTGCACTTAATTACGATTTATTTAGAATAAATATTTAAAATATGACGCATCATGTCAATGTGGCCATGGATGTGAGAATGTTTTTCATTACTTCCTTGAATGCACATTGTATACTACTCAAAGACATAAACTGTTACAATCTTTAGAAAGTATTGTTAAAATTAGAACACTGATTTGTATTAATCGTATCTTACCTGGCAATGCAGGTGTCTCATTTACTGTAAATCAGAATGTTTTCAAATATGTACATATCTATATCTCTCCCACAAAACGTTTTCTCAGTTAACTTCTGTTGTGCATATGCTATTATTGGGAGGGGTCTTTTCTATCAATAAACACAATCAAACCTCTCAGTGACAAACCTGTTTTTATATTCGATAGTAATTGATAGTAAAAACAATTTTGAGAAGAGAAATCATTTATCATTTAAACATTACACAGTTCTATTTACCTACAATCAAACTTCTCAGTAACGAACCTGTTTCAGGCTCACCCTGCTCTACTCACTAAACAGTGGACTGTTCCATTATACCCGTAGGTGTAACCCTAATTAACCTTCTAGTTCAGTGTCTGTCAAATGGGTGTCTGTCAAATAGGAGATAACCGTTTTATACATTGAGTGGTTTGTACACTCAGCTTAAGCATAATTAACAATTTGTATAGCAGTTTTATGCTTGTCAGAATATGTTTCACTGATGTTAAAGATACAGTCGAGAGGCAGACGCCATTTAGTTTGCATGTCATATAGTCGGTAGCGATCTTTAACATAAAATAAAATGATATTTTGTACATTTAACATGACGGTAAGATAAATACGTTGTATGCTTCTCTCGAAGGTAATAAGGTCTGATGTACGCCTCTTGGTAAGCAGTGTCATCCTTCGCCTACCGGCTCGGGTGACACTGCTACAAAGAGGCGTACATCAGACCTTATTACCCTCGAGAGAAGCATACAACTTATAAAGTATCAGCATCGAAACGTCGCTCTATGCAATAAACAAGAAGTTGTCATCCATAAGGTTGTTTGTTTCAATTTTGACTCACTCAACTTCTAGAATGCCGATCAAACAATTAAGAACATTCGATTTAAAAACTTGAAGTGAAGATTTGCACCTATTGGGTTTTGATGATTGAATTAGTCCTCAGAACGTACTGATGTATGTCAGGTTCACCTGTGTACCTCACTACCCAAATGACGTGAACTGTTAATTGTTCTGTCCTGGAGACAGTCCAGATAATCGTGTTCAGATTAAACTGTCTGCATACTGACGTGATGTACATTGTTCATCTGACTACAGCGTTACAAAACATTACCTCACTTAATAGCTGGGTGACGAAATAGCTGAGTCTCTAGAAATGATGTCGAACCACCTTCTGAAATGAGTTCACAACACCCTGACTCTCTTTATGGTCTAGGGACACTGATGATAATGGTTCACGTTGGGATACCTCGTATGGGGGCACCCATGCACGCTGTTGGTTCTAAGGGCAGCATGTTTATGTTTTGTGTTTCTCATCG